CTAAAGTTCTCAGAAAATTGTTACAAACTCTTGTCACTCGCTGACTGTAACCCTAAGCAAACTGCATAATCCGTATGAAACTCCACGCCAATATCTGGATATACAAGACTAGTAATAATAGAATGTACCTCAAAGCATTGTCACAAAGATTAAATTAGATGATGTATGAAACAGCACTTAGGGGCGCCTGGGTGGCGCAGTCGGTTCAGCGTCCGACTTCAGCCAGGTCACGATCTCGCGGTCCAGAAGTTCGAGCCCCGCGTCAGGCTCTGGGCTGATGGCTCAGAGCCTGGAGCCTGTTTCTCCCTCTCTCTCTGCCCCTCCCCCGTTCATGCTGTGTCTCTCTCTGTCCCAAAAATAAATAAACGTTGAAAAAAAAAATTAAAAAAAAAAAAGAAACAGCACTTATAAAACCATAAAGCACCATAAAAATGTTGACTGTTATTGTTGCTAGCACTTGGCTGAAGGCTTTAATTCCAATTAACCTACATGATCTTTCTCCACTAAACCAAGATTCTGGTCCTTCAGAGATTTGGCTCATGGTGAGCAACTGGGGAAAATGCCATTTCACAATATGTCACAATTAATAGCAATAACACTTTTGAAATCTTCACTAAAAGCAGATCGTCTTGAGTTTTAGTACAAAGAAAATGTGTTCGATTTCTTTCAACCACCATTATATCCAACTCTTGGCTAACTTATGATCAAATGGTTGGCATAACTTCTCACTGTTTGTGGGTCTATTTAGAGGGTTCCTCGTGTTCTTCCTTCCTTTTATGTTGGGGTTCTCCAGACCTCTGCCCTTGCTCAAACCCCACCAAAGGTCAAAACATCAGAATACATTAAAAATAACTAAAACAAGTGAAGTGGGCAGGCCAGTGAAGGGGGAGTACATACCTCACCTGATGCAGGAGGTCTTGCTCAATGCCAGCCTTCCCTTGAAGGGCCTTGGTATCATGAGATCGTCTGTATTTTTCAATGGAATCTAATTTTTTTTTGATGTGGGTGTGAATTATCCCAGTTTGTAAATGCTCCACCTTTCCTCCACTTCCTAACTCAAGTCTTTTTCACTTAAAGGATTTGGATCAACTCAAAATTTAAAATCACTCTTGTGCTTAAATCCTGTGCCTCCCTCTTGCCTAGGAATAGAGTTCAAGTTCTTTAATTTGACATCTTGGATCTTCTGGACATACAATGTCCAGACCACTAGCCAGGCACAGCTCCTTCAAGAAGCTCTCAGTCTCTTTGGGAGAACCTGGTAGAAACAGGCCCCAGCACAGAATTCCCAAAGCTGCCTGTGGGGTTCTCCCCTTGCCCACTGCATAAAGATTGCAGACATGTGTGTTGGTGGACTCCTTGAGGAAAGGGACTGGTGTTTGGAGCACAATACTTGCTCAAGATTTGCTGAATGAATGAATGAGTATGATAAAGGTTAATTATAAGCCACCCCTAGAGTTGGGTTTTTCAGGCTTCATCTGGGTTTAAAATAAATCCAGTCAGGGGTGCCTGGGTGGCTCAGTCAGTTAATCATCTGACTCTTGATTTCGGCTCAGGTCATGATGTCACAGTTCGTGGGTTCAAGCCCCACATCAGGCTCCATGCTGACAGCACATAGCCTGCTCGGGATTCTCTCTCTCTCCCATTCTCTCTCTGCCCCTCCCATGTTTTTCCTCTGTCTCTGTCTCTCTCTCTCAAAAATAAATAAAATAAACTTTAAAAAATTTCTTTAAAAATAATATCCAAGTAACCACACTTCACACCAGTTTTTTTTTTGTTGTTGTTGTTTTGCTTTTTACATTCAAACCTAAGAAAGAAAAAAATTCAAGACAAAACAAAAGACCAAATACCAGTTCTACCTCTACTGTTACTATATCTCTGGTATTTCTACCAGGGTTAAATCAGGTCCCATTCATTGTCTTAACATTCTATAATTTCCAAATTGTAGGAGAACTGACACTCTTTATGAGGATCCTTAAAACATAAGCTGTTTGAATAAAGGATGATAAAATCTCTTATGAAACATGAAATTAGAAATAAAAGTGGAGGGGCGCCTGGGTGGGTCGGTTGGTTAAGTGGCCGACTTCGGCTCAGGTCGTGATCTCGCGGTTTGTGGGTTCGAGCCCCATGTCAGCTGGGGTTGACAGTTCAGAGACTGTCTGCTTCAGATTCTGTGTCTCCCTCTCTCTCTCTCTGCCCCTTCCCTGCTCACGCTCTGTCTCTCTCTGTCTTTCAATAATAAATAAACGTTAACAAAATAAATAAATAAATAAATAAATAAATAAATAAATAAAGGTGGAAAACATTTGATAAAGGTTAAAAGATTTTCTAATCCATTTCCTTTTCCAAATTCCAGAATATCCTTTCCTTGAGTGCTGAAATTTAACCGTTCTGTACTATGTTACAGCACTTACTTGTTAGTCATGATCCTTCATACATCAAACTAATGAATGGAAACAGTCCATTTAAGAATAAGTTAGATTTGGTGGTCGTTACAGTGACATTTTTCTCAAAAAAAAAAAAAAAATAATAATAATAATACGTATAGCATACTTTGTTAATCGTATGTTCAAAGAGGATTCCTGGAAGATTTTTCAAAAGGAGTGGTGTTGCTACATGTGGTTTGTTTGTTTGTTTTTCACTCTGGAATACCAAAATTAATATGATTCCCTGGTTCTGTGTCTCCTACCCAGAGTAGCTTTAAACGAAGTCTGGCTTATAGAGGTTTATTCATAACTTCTTGATCTTTCACTTATTGCATATTTCTATGAAGGAAAAAGCTGTTTTAACACTTAAGGGTCTTATTTATGAAATATGGGAAAAGGTAGAAATATGTGCTGAGGGGACCCAAGTTGCCCCAAGGGCATTATTGCTGCAGATTTCCCAAAGAGAAAGTGGGACTTAAAAGAAGCAATTCTCAATATTTCCCCCAGACTTAAAACCTTGTAATTCAGATGAACTCTGAACTGAGACTCTTTGCATCTCATTTTCTCATTAGGTTTTATTACAGCCAACAAAACTTTCAGTGGTGAATTACTTCCTTCTCAGGGGTATACCAGACTCCCATCATGTCTGCACAAACTAAAATAATGAAATGGTTTATAACCAAGCCTTGGGGGGGGGGGGGGGGAGAAGAAAAAGGAAAAAAAAAAAAGAAAGGGCAGTAGGGCCTTTTTATCTCTATGCTAACCTAAGTGTGGTTTTTCTAGTCCTTTTACTTGCCTATTGAAAAAACAGAATTAAAAAATGGAAATGCCACTTGGCTTGAAACACCATTTAAAATCATTTAAAGATTTCTCTTTTAAGTTCCCTTAAAAGACAAGTCACTTCCGCAAGAAATATGGACAAATTAGTCTTAAACCCATGGCTCAGATAGGACTTAAGGTAGTGAATACATGCTTTCAAATGTGGTCATGGTGTTAAGAAATGATGTCTGTTCCACGCACCTAGGTCGGAAGCGCCAGCATAAAAACAAATACTTTTGTTTTAACACAGAAGGTTGAAAAGCATTTTGTTTCATACTTTTATGTTACGTTCTGCATTTATAAGAGCTATTTCATGTTTACTATGTATCAAGCATAGGACTGGTTCTTGCCCTCAAAGAACTTATAATTCAGTTGAGAAGCCAAAGCTTAACATGATTTTAAAAAGAAAGGATTAGCAGAAAACAGAGTGTAATTAAGCGTTAAACAATGTGGTACAGATGCTAAGTGACCTAGGAGATCAGAGGAAGAGAAAGATGGCTGTGGGCTGGGACTGTCAAGAGTATATATTTTCCATAAACTCTTAAAATTATGCCACGTTTAGAAGTTGTTATGATTGCTGCTCATTTGTAATTTTAAATCATTTGCATGATTCACCATTGCTTTCCAACCAGTAGCTGTTCGAAAGGGCTTAAAAGAAACAGTTGATGTTGGCAGGAGACGTATCTTTAGCAAATCTCCTGGATTTGCCAATGAGGGAAAAACATACCTTCCTGTTGGATAACAGACACAAGAACTAAGCAGATCTTGCATGGAGAATATGCGATTCAATGGGCAGGAATACAGAACTCTGGCTGCAATTTTTGGTATGCATTTTTGTGTCTATTAAACTTTTTTTCTTCATGCTAAACAACTTCTAAGTTTTGGAGCTGAGTTGAGCTTTTTCCTTGTTTAGATCTATTTTCACAATATATTTTTCTTTCTAAGAAAAGTGAACTAAAACTGCAATGAGAATTTTCTAATTCCTAAAAATAATGGCACTTGCAGGGACGGGGGTGGGGGGAGTGGGGGGAGGTGGGGGGGCAAGGAGGATGTTTAGCTTCCTTTAAAACTGAAGCATCAATATGCACAGGAACTTATCTTTTGAAATCACAAACCTTCAAGTGTGCATTTACACTCTTGGTCCTAAAATGCTTTTTACTTTATAGTTCAGAAAAGACCCTGGTCTCTGTGCGTTGCTTTTTCAGTCTTTGCAATGCAAAGTTGGAGCTAAATTAGATTTGTTATAACAGAATTTAAACTGCTAACATAGAGGCATGTCTCATCTTGTGTTTTGAGTAACTTTAGGCAACTTTAGAGAATAGTAGCAAGCACTCTTTCCCCTCCATACTTGTTGCGTTCTGGGTCTTCCCAAGAAATGTCAGTTATTTCCCCCAATTCTGAAAAGAGGGACTCTTTCACAACAGTGTACAACCAGGCAAAAGAGCACTCTCGTGTTTCCTTCAGGGGGAGGAAACCTGTAATAATGCGAGATAATTAAATTTCGTCTTAGAAGAGTCTTCTTTGAAACGTTCTAATCAAGACTTCCAGCTTTCTGAGTGTGTGTGAGCTTTATTTTGCAATTCTTCCTGGTCCCGGTTCTGCATTCCTAATGAAAGTGAACTGACAAAGCGTGAAAGTGGTCTAAGGAGCAAAACAGAGCCAGCAAGCATGCTTCTGGTGAACCAAGATTAATCAGTATTCCAGAAACCTCGGGTTTGCGCCCTCCTTCCCTGTGGTGTTTTCATTTTTCCCCACTCCCCCTGTCCCGGGCGCAGACTCCTCCCCTTTTCTTAAGTTGCCCCGATAGTAACTTGCAGTTTCAGAGCGCATGCATGCCGGGCTCGTGGCGTTCGTTACTCTTCCGTACCTGCTGCGGAATTCACCTTGTCATTGCCTGGGGTACCTTCCACCCGTTACAAAATCCGAAAAGGTAAGTCTGACGTCCTGTCTTGCCGCCGGGCTTCCCCTCTCCATGCACTTCTCCGCCGATGGATTTTGCTTCGCGAGCAGAGGAGCAGCGAGAGTGAAAAGCTAGCCATTTTGGTAGATAAAGTCCACGTTAGTAATTTAATGTAATGAGCGCATGGTGTCCGCTTATGCCGTGTCCGCTCTTAACTCGGAGTTGAGTCATTCAGGGTGGACTGGGGGTAGATTGTGGTTCGGGAGCTAGAAAAGAATCAAGGCTGAGCTGGTCTGTTTAAAAGTGACTGGAAAGGGAACCAGAGACTAGTTTAAAAAAAAAAAAAAAAACTGGTCTCTCGTCTGTCCCCTTCCTCACTTCTCCCTAAACTTCTAATCTGCCGTGACGTCTTCAATAAGCCGTAGGTCTTATTATCACTGTCCCCAAGCTGCAATTTTATTTAAAAGTCAAAACTGTTAAGACGAGTCTCTTTTTCCACACTTGGATTTGCCAAAAGCTCCGGAGGAGTCTTTTGCTTTCCAGTTACCTCCCCCGCGGACGCACACGCTGGCTGTTGGCGTTGCCATATACACACGTCCACAGGCACCACTGATTTTTACTTGGATTGATCTCGGGAAAGATTGTGGATTACAAACCTTATACAACCGGAGGAATCCTTTGATTTTTTTCAAAAGAACCGATTTCCACCCGGGAGAGATTGACTTAGATCTTTGAATAACCTAGGAGCGCTTTAAAGAAACTAGAAACCACACGCTGTAATGTTTGGAATGAAAATTGGATTCGCCTCATCTGTTCTAGAAATTCTAAAATTTTGAAATACCCAGAAGTCGGTGATGGTTTCCTCAGGAGACTCCGATATGATTGCCACAAAGACAAATGCTATTTTGTACTTATACTTGTGATAAAAATGGAAATAAATGAATTACGATTACAGATAATGCATAGATAGGCTCAGAGAACTTTGCTTGTTTCAGAGAAAAAATTAAAAAGTTACCCTGCAAAATAGTCAAATATATTTCCCAAGTCCTGTGCATATGTTCTTTTCATTGCATTCTTTTCATGACCATATTTATTAGCTGATATTATCGTGGGTTTTTTTCCTTAATGAAGAAAATCTTTATCATTTAAAACAGAAAGCCCTGAGGATGAAATATCAATATCTTAATTCATTTTATTGACCTGGTTACGCCTTCACCGGGTACACAACATAAGCCAGCAAGTAATTATTGAGCGCTTCCTGTGCATTCAATTCAATTAGACATTTATTGAGGGTGCACATTGTGCAAAAAGCACTTGGCTGGTTCTGGGGGAGACTGAGGGGGTGGGGGCTGCTTAGTCACACTCGGCTCCGATGAACCCTTTTACAGCCTCATTGGAATAGGAAGGGCAAATTTTTAAAAATAGAACACACATTTCTGCTGGTAGATTCTGAATTGATGCACATTTCTCACACGTGGTCCTGTAAAATATGCACCTCCCACCCAGCCTTGAAACCTGGCATTGCGGCTCTCTAGCTCTTGATTGCTACTGAGATTATGCAGCGTGCCAACAGCTTGCCCTGCTGTGGGGCAACCCTGATTTCTCACCCCTGCAGGCTGTAACTCTTGTCTCTCCTCTCCTTGTTCTAGTTGTGTTCTCTAACACCAAAGAGGTCTGGCTTTCCGGGGGTGATTCCGAGACGTTGAAGTGCAAAGAAAAGACATTCCTACAGAAGTACAATATGACTAAAACCAACGGAGAAGAGCCCAGGATGGGGGGCAGGATGGAGAGATTCCAGCGAGGAGTTCGTAAGCGCACACTCTTGGCCAAGAGGAAAGTGCAGAGCATCACAAAGGAGGATGTTAAAAGTTACCTTTTTCGGAATGCTTTTGTACTGCTCACTGTCACTGCAGTCATTGTGGGTAAGTCATTTGATAACAACCGGAAAAAAAAAAAAAAAAAAAAGGATCTTGTTTCTCTGGGGCATCTGGCTCCCTGGGCGTATTATCAGATGGACTGATTGATTGTAGGTATTCAAAATAATAGTCTAGGCTTTTTTCTCCCACTAAATGACAGTCTGTTGGCATGTTTGAAGCAATATATGGTAAACACACCAGAATCTGAAAGAAGCATCATTTGGCATTATGCAAATCAATCGATTGTGTGGAGAAGAGAAACAAATCAAATGCTTTCCCATCTCATGGAAGCATAAAAGAGTGACAATTTAATCATTAGGCCTGAGCAGTTAAATAACAATAAAAACAAGCAAACATATGCTAGATTTGGCCCAAATGTAATCATACAATGTCGCTTTCACTTAAAGCTAATTTATGCAATTAGTACATGAGATACAGGTTCCTAATAGTAATTATATTCTAACCATTCTAATGGGTGCTGACTTGAAACTGTGTATCATGCCTAGAGGTAGAGACTTTTACGTGTTTGCATCTCCCATCCAGTGACTGGAAAAGGTAAATTGAGACAAATGTTAACACAGATCTTTTTCATTCATTTCTTGCCATAAATAACTATCCCTTCTCTGCAACGTTGCAGCCTCTTACAAACTTAGCATTGTTAACAGCAACCTGTACTAATAAAACATTGTTTTGTTTGATTTATTGGAATCTGAAATTATTGTTTATTATTTATGGGTGGCAGATAGCTGAAAAAACTACTTACTGGGAAATTTTGACTGAACAAATACAGAAATCTTTAGGCTGGTAAACATGCAAGCTAATGCCATGTTATAAAAAATTAAATTTCTACTAATCCGACCCAAAAGGGCGAGGGGGCATTAGTGTACAATTTTAATCGCTGTCTTGGAGTTTGCCAAGGTCTCTATCAAATATAAAGAGGTAACGACAATAAAAACTAAGACAATTTTGTGGCATGTAAATATAACTGTATTCAAAAAGATAGGATTCTTAAATTGCAAATAGGAATACGACAGAATAGTTTGTCGCAAGACTTTCAATATATTCCATCTCAATATCTTTTGCTCCTTTTAGAAATTGTTGGTCATCAATGACCGTTCAATTCATTTTAGAGATGTTCAAAGAGAAAATGTCCTGATTGACTCAGGGACATAATGGCTTTCTTTAGTAGGTTCCCAGGTTTAAATACATCCCTGAAGGAAGTATTTCAGTGCTTTGTCGTTGTCTTGGAAGTTGATGTAACACTCGGCAAGCTCAATTCATTTTTTGCTTTGAATTACAGTCGTTGCCAAGCCAAACAATAGCTGCCAAATAATAATAATAGTGAACACTGATGGAGTACTGTTACAGCTGCTTAAGTAGTGTTTTGCCTAGATTAGCTTACTTCATCCTCAAACAAGCCTATGAGTGAATGGGCAGGAATGATTAGTATGATCCTTATTTTAGAGATGAGAATACTGAGCATGGAGAGATCAAACAACTTGCCCAAAGTCATGCAGATAGTAAACGCTAGAGCTCAAAGTCAGACTCAAGCTATCTAGGCCCGGGGCCATTCTCTTAAACACTTTGCCATCCTGCCTTTGTGCTCTGCAAACTAGTTGGCATCTTGTGAGAGATTCCAGGAAGAGAAATGCTGCTATGTCTTGGTAGAGGCCAATTAGCAAGCAGTGCTACATGCATTCACATAGCATTGTCATTTTACTATATGATTTACCCAGTCAGACCCACAGAAAACTTATAATTCTCCAATAAATGATTAAGCCACATCCCTGTCATGCATTTAACAAATACTCATTTATTCTACAATCCTGTACACATCATAATAGAGCTCAGTGATACTGGAGTATGTTTGGAAAAGATGCAGAAACATTTATTCAACATGGTGTTCCAAACACAAGAAGAGTTCAATTTCTAGAACAGAAATGTTTCAGTTAAAGAATAAAGGAATGGAAAGTAATAAAACCTGCACATGGAAAGCAGATTGATGGAGAAGCAAGTTCCTAAGTGATTACAAAGACATATCTCTAATAGAAGGAAGATAATGCCAGGACTTAATGGTCCATTTTCTCTATGAGTTCTGGGATCATTTCCTAGCCCAGCGAGGACTTTCCTAAGATTTGTGAGAATTGCAGTGAGTTGGCTGAGCTGGGGTAGATAACTTGGCAGGATGTCCTCATGGTTGGCTTTACTAATGGAAACTGAAGAGGTAGAAGTAATAAGAAGAAGGCACTAACAAAGAAACAAATAAAAAGAGCTCATTGACAGTCAGAGAGACCACTGAGTCTACACCAAAGACTTGGAATGGCCAATAGACCACTTGGTAGCCAACAGACTTAGGAGAGAAGGAAGAACCCTTCAGTTATCTCTTGGTGTGTCTTCCATTGAGGGCCCAATGGAAACAAAGGCTCCATTTAGCTTGTCACTGGGTACCATGTCTACATCAGCCCTAAAAGAATAAGAGCATGTCTGGACTTCAGCTGTCTAATTCATTTGCTGCAGCATTGGACAAAAAATGGAAAGATGCTCGCAAGGAAGAAGAAAAGTTCTTTTCCCCAAAGAAGAGATGAGAAGAACCAAATTCTTAGGTTTTAATAATTGTTAATACAAAAAAAAGCCCTATATATTGGGTAAATTCCATCTGTTTTGTCTTTTTGGAAAAAAATAAATGTGCATTTAGTATGTTGAAGTGGAAACTAGAAAAGTATTACAGAGGAGGAGTAGATACATGTGAAACCATATAGTCAGATTAAAGTAGAGAATTGTAAATATTTCAGTATTAATTCCTCTACAAGCACAGGCCTAGAACCATGTGTGCAGTTTGATGTCAGTTCTAAGAAGTGACATTCCTAATGCCATTTCTAAGTGATGTCACAGTCCGAATATGCCATGCTATGTCAAAGCCACGTAATGAAAGCAAATTAGCAACCTGAGAGAAGGCAATGCCAAGTGTTAAGTCTCTTTAAGGGGGTTCATTACTAAAGCATTAGATAAAGTGTCTCCCAGGGCTGTTGCAGACATCTGTCTAACAAAAACCACACTGAGAAGAGTGGTTACTATCTTTCTTCCTCCAGGAAGCACTTTCTCGTTTCAAACTGTGGTAAGTGGTATGAGAGTGACCTTAGACATCTTGCTGAAAGAAAGGGAAAGTCCTTTGTCATGTTTAAGTCATAGAATGCCCATCTTTCCACATCCAGGGAGCAAAAAGCACAATAAAAATGAAATCTCAGGCTAAAAATTTTTGAGGAAATGGGTCATAACATCAGCTACGAGGGGAAGGAAACTAAATAGAACTGCATAGAACTGGATGGTGGTTTTACCTGAGGGAGTTCACAAACAGCAACTAGCATCTTTCTCTACACACACACACACACACACACACACACACACACATGCACGCACGCACCTTTTATGTTTGGGTTGTCCTCTATATGGGTTTGAGAAAAATTGGTGACTTTTCAGAAAAGAAAACATACTGGCTACATGTGTATAAAGCATTGCTCATCATTACCTTATAGTCTTTGGCAATGAATGTAAATGGCACTACAATTCAGCGCAATTCAATACTATCTCTGAAAGATATACAAGAAACTGGTCATTGTGGCTGCTTCTGGGATGAGAGCTGGGTGTCTGGTAATGGGATGGAAGGAATATTACTTTCCTCTAAGTTTTTGTATGGTTTGAAGGCTTTTCACCACATTCGTATATTATCTATTATCTATTATCTGCTGAATATTTTTTTTTTTTTTTAAAGAAAGATTCAGTGCTATTCAGCAATTTAACACATACTATATGTTGGGTATCTGGTCTGTGCTATGCAATAGAGAATCTTTGCCCTCGGGTAGTTTAGTAGAAGAGATAAAAATGGGATGACAAAGGAGTAGACAAATTTCAGAGGTAGTAATAAGAAGGTTTTTGTTTTGGTGAGGTTATGTCACCAAATTATGTCAACATTTTTTAAGTGAGATCATATTATCCATACTGTTGTATATAATATATGATCTTTGTGTTGATACTTTAGAGGTTGTACTTTTCTTGTTAACAACCTAGATGTACCATGTGGGAAAAAAGAATATGGCTGTTGATGAAGCATCGACTGGATTTATATGTGAACTGTATCATTTAATAGCTGTATGATCCTAGAGAAGGCGTTTAACTGCTCTGTGCCTCGGTTTCCTCATCTATCATTACACATATAATATGCATTGCAAACACTAACACTGTACCAAGCACTGTTGTACGTGCTGTTAATACATTGGCTTTATTTAATTCTCAGAACAAATAAGGCAGGGAGGTATTCTTATTCTTATTTCACAGATAAGGAAACAGCTCACCAACTGGGATGCAAATCCACTGTTCTGGCTGGAAGTTTATACTCTTACCCACCACACTCTTCTGAGTGCTGGTCCCTGCCCTTGGGGCATGTCCATTCTTGTTTTATGACATCAGTTAGCTGAGGGTGTGCACTGACCCAACAACAGAAGCGATGGAAAGGACACATGGAATTGAGACCTCAGTCCCAGGGGCACCCTGCATCTTGACAATTGATTGATGGCACGTGAGCATTGACAGAAGAGCCGGACTGCAGCCTGTTGGGTTGGTCCAGTTGCTGACTCGGGTGACTGAGGGTGCCGGTGCTCCCAGTAAAGGTAGAATACAGGAAGAAGATTGAGGGGGAGTGGGAAGGATGATTTCAATTTTTTGGACATGTTGATTTGGGGATGTAAACGTTACAACAGGAATACAGTGCAAGAGGCTCAGGGTACGTAGAGATTTTGAAGGTATTCTTTTGATGTCGAGACTGAACAAGGACAGTTCTGTCTTTGAAGGTTAAATGGATAATGATCCATGAATCGGGTTATCCTCCTGCATCAGCTACTCTGTAAGTGAGACCATTCTCAGAACACAGTTAACTCTTCTTTATGAGTAAAGCAGTAACCTCCCAGCAAGACCAGGTGTTTTGTACCTTCCACACGTACACAGTATCTGGC